GGCCCCTAGCTGCCCGTCAGGTCTGAAACTGAACGCACACCTGTGGCTTCCAGCCAAACAATAGACAGGCATATCAGTTGAGCATTTACCTGAGGTAGATACACTCCTTGGAGAGAACAAGCGTGAGAGAAAGAAGGGCTGCTCAGGCACAGGGAGACAGCTCAGGGGGCAGGAGTGCATGGATGGATGGACATAGGGAAGAGGTAACTATCGGGAGGAAGTGGGAGGGGAGATGTTGCATTGTGCTAAACTGTGGTCAATGTCAGGAGACAAAGTGTATGTGATCTGCTGTATGGAAAGTGTATTTGCTCTGTAAATCTTCACCCAAATCACAATGAAAAAAAAAAATTGATAAAAAAAAAGCATCTTGATTTTAGAGTGGTTTAAAGTGCAGCTATAATTCTTGGCTTATCTCAAAATAAGAATTTTAAAAATACAGATCTTTTCTGGGGTATGGTACCTGATTACTCCCATAACAGGTGGGTCTAAACTATTCAAGGAACAAAAATATCAATTTCCTATATTTAAAAAGGTCTTCTGGGAGTGCATTTATTATATTAGGTTTTTTTTGTTTTTTTTTTTTTTTTTAATATAGCCATTCTAAACATTTTTTATCCAAATATTTGAGATATAAGCAGCTCTTTACCAGACAATGTAGTCAATGGATTGAGTTAACATGTAGGAAGATCATTTGTCTCTATTGCTGCTGTCTATTGCATGCATGTAATCATTATTTTATAAGACTAATTGGAGACTATTAAACAATGATATTTACTTGAATTTTATTTAAAGAAACAGCTATTGGAAGAGAGAGATCAATATGTAAGCAAACTGCAGGTGAAACTTGAAGAAAAGTACTATAATACACTTATGATGGAAAAGGACAAGTGGCAGAAAGAGCAAGAAACTGATATTAAACAGCAGGTTGAAAATGAAATGATGTTAGCCAAGACACACTGGGAGAAGGAACAGAAAGAGGTGTGGGTTAAAATTTCTTTCTGGTTATCATGTTAAAAAGATGTAGTATTAACTCTGTTCCTGGCATTTTAATTGCCAAGTTCATGCAAAATCACCCCTTTTATGTTTCAGAATTGAGTTATTAGTAGGTTACCACCAGTTTTATTTTTTTAAATTCCCCATCTTGATTTTTAACCCAATTCAGGAGTCAGCAGGTCTTTTGACACTCCTTTGAGGCCTCTAAAGGAAATCATTATCTCATTTCATATTGTGAAATTATTCTGAAAACTCCAGACCAATATCAGCAATTAGCATAAATAATCCATACAGAGGATTACAGGAAAGAAGTCATGATGGGGCAGGCTCAGAAGCATGAAACTTACTCCCTCGATTGCCTAAGTAGAAAAGAGGTCAGAACGTGCTAGTTGTTTCCTAGAAAGTTAGCAACCAACTTAAGATCACCAAGACTTACTGGGAAATGAAATAAATTCTCCATCTTACTTAAACTAGAATTTCCTGTCCACAATAATGCTATTAATTGAAGCCAGTGCTATCTTAAGATAAAAGGTGGACCACGGTCTCATATTTAGGCCTCCCTGTTCCTCATCTTCCATCCCTTCCCCTAAATGGCATCTCCATTAATCTTGTGCTACTACCTAAAATTAGTTGTAGTCATTTTAAAATATAAAGCATGTAATCTGGATGGTTCAAAACTAACTCCCTATTTATGCTGTACTGCAAGTTGTTTTCTTTTTCAGTTAGGTTAGCTAGCCAATTAATTTCCAAAGGAATGAGATTGAAAACTAATGCTTTCATGAGAATGTCAGGAAACCATGAGCCATTTCAAGTAAACCAATCTAGTCAAGGCCTCCTGGGACCCAGGGAAGCAGTTAGTGAACTCTGAGTGCCCAAGAGATAGAGAACAGAAAAGGAAAAAGTAAATTTTGGTACTTCTCACTTTTGCATAAGACTGATTCATGTGGATCTATTCCAGTGCACCATGGACAGTGAAAGGGAATCATAATGTCATAATGCTCCCCTCTTGAATGCACAGTCTACTTGAGTAGAATTTAACATCATAGGAAACAAGATTGTAGTGTATTCAAGTGGATACACCTATTCTTTTAGATTGTCTATTCAATTTTAGATTCATTAATTAGAGGTCCTTAGTGCCTGCTTTGTACAAACCATGGTGCTTATGATAAAACACACATTACTAATAGCAAAAAAAAAAAAAAAAAAAATCAATCATGCCATCTTTGTAGTGGCAATGTTAAAGCTTCTACAAGGTTTCATCTTGAAAGCAAGATAGCCTGGCCTTACACAACACACTTAATTCTTTCATGTGATTTGCGTCACATGAGATAAGGCCAAAGAGTAACTCAGATTTTACTTGAAGATATATTTTCATTGACTAAATTTCTAAACCTCATAGAACTACTATAACAATGTCTAGATGGTTTTCTAGCTCTGCTGTGGTTGCTTTATTGGCTAGCTATGCTAGTTTTGACTTATTTGAATATTTTTCTTCTCAAACAATTTTTCTTTTGAAATCAGATCAAACAAGAACTCACTCAACGTCTTGAAAAGGAGTGGCAGTCTAAGCTGGAGCAAACACTAAAGGAAATGAAAAAGAAGACCTCCGATTATGGTAGCCAAACTGACCGAGTAACCACCATTGATGTTCTTTCCAAGAAAGAGATGGCAATGGTGGTAGAAGAGCAGAAGCAAAAAATCCAGCAACAGTTAGAGCAAGAGAAGGAAAAAGCTCTCAAGGAGGGCTTGAAGAAACTTGAAATTGAGTTAGAACTCAAGTATTGTGACAATATTGCCAAACAGGTAATAGATTTATTTTACTAAAGTTATAACTGCCTATCTAGTAATGAAAACATTCAAAATGCTGTCTTTTAACTTGTTCATAACTTTTCTACTTTTAAATTTTTGTGTGTTTCTAGGATAGAAAACTTGTTATATTGTTACATATTTCTTCTTTTTATTTGCCACAAAGCTGTCCCTTCTCAGTTTTTCTGTATATTCTTTCATTTTACAAAAGGTTTGATCCTCTGAGGTCAAACAGTCAAAGCATTAAGATGCTTGAGGTTAAAGATGGTGATTTTACATCTGAATGAAGCTCAATTTAATTATGAATTTTCCATATCTAATTTTATAGAAAATATTCCACTAAGTAGCTATAGGTATGCAAACTTAAAGCAATAAGCTATTTAACAGTATTTATGTTGAGACTTCACATAGAGTTGAATCCACAGACATACTCCTTTGTCTATAATTCCCCTCAGCTGCCAAAAAGTGGTGCCATTGCCTTTCCTTTGAAGCATTCACAGAGCTAGCTCTCTTAACCAGGATAAGTTACTTAATTTCCAAGAAATGTCAAACTTAGAAAAGTATACCTCTATGTTAGCAAAATAAAAATGAGTTTTTATCTCTTATATTTTTGACAGCACATAACAACAACATTATCTATTACAGCAGTGCTCATGGTTATTTTTTGGGGGGGGTTGTCTCAAGACTCCTTTACACTTTTGAAAATTGGAGACACCAAAGATCTTTTTGTTTGTGTGGGTTAAATCTTTTAATATTTACTGTGTTGGAAAATAAAGCAGAGACATTTTTCAAATACAAGAATAGCCAAGCACACATTCCATTAACTGTCAGAGCCATGATACCATTCATTGCATTTTATGTGGCCTCTGGAGAACTGTACCGTTCACTCCTGAGAGCATAAGAATGAAAATGACAGATAATACCTTATTATTATTTTGTACATAGTTTTGACCTCACAGACCACTTGACCAGATCTGGGGATCTTCAGAGGTTCTTAGACCTTAATGTCTGTTATTTTGAATCTACTAACTATTATAAACTCTTAGTAGAGTGCCTGAAATAAGAGATTTTAACAGTCTTCTCAACTTTTCATAAAAGCTTGAAATTCTGCTCATTTGTTAAATTGCTCTTCATGATTTTATAGGGCATCCTTAAAGTCTGGAAACATAGGGAAATGTCTGTATCAAGAACATCTTGAACCAATTTAAAAAAGTAGCTTTCTGCAATGTTTACTGAAAGGTTTGAACAGAGTTAAGAAAATGTCTCATGGACAGAGAGATAATATTTAAGGATGCTACTTTGATATTTATGAACTTAAAGGTCTTATGAAAGAAAACAAATAGCATAACATCATAGAAAGGATATATTCTTAATAACTTTTTGAGGAATATAAATTTCTATAGGAGCTTTATCTTTGCTCCTTACTTTTAACTCCTTGTAATCTACAATTGTATTTAGTTCTTTAGTCAGAAACATAGCTCTATTTATATCATTCTCCTCTTGTGTAAGTATGTGGATAAATGTGTGTGTATCATTATGTAATAAATGATCTTGTGATAACTGGTGATTTGTTTATAAACAGATCACCCTCATAATTCATCATGCCTTTCATTTATGCTTGAATTGATAGATCACCTTATTGTTTAGTTACAAACTCATTCTTGATGGCAGAAAAATTTGCCATGTGTAAGGCTCCAATCTCTATTGGAGTGTATGTGTTTGTGTATGTAATACAGTGTATAGTTGCTCATTGAAAATGAGATCTTCTTGAAATTTCACAGCCTGCTTTACCTCATTCTCTTGCTGTATCCTCCAGGTAGAAATAGCTGTGCAAAATGCTCGCCATCGATGGCTGGAGGAACTGCCTGAGCTTGCAGAGTATAAAGCACATGTCAGAGCAGAGCAGAAGAAATGGGAAGAACAGCAAGAGATTTCTGTGGCCAAACGGGTAGGTAACTTCAGGAGCTCACCTCTCCTGACTCCTCTGTTTTTTCTAGAAATTTGTACCACCTCATAGAGTTGTTGAAAGATACAAGATAATGCAAGTTAAGCATTAGCTCAGGGCCTGGCAAATTCTGTCTGTTATCGCCATCATCAAGTTGTTCAGGGTTTCTTAAAGTCTGGAAACATAGGTAATATACATAATGGTATCAAGAAAATCGTCAACCAATTAAAAAATACTAGCTTTCTGAAATGTTTACTAAAAGGTTTGAACAGAATTAAGAAAATGTTCCATAGAAAGATATATTTAAGGGTGCTGCTTTGATATTTATGAAATTATAGGTCTTGTAAAGAAAATAAGTAGCATGATGTAGTGGAAAGGTAATGTTCAAACTTTTTAAAGAATACAAATTACTATAAGAGAGATAAGTTGTTCAAGGAGAAGTAATGTATTTTAGTGTCTTATACATATATAGGATATAAGATCAACATCCAAAAATCAGTTGGATTCCTCTACACCAGCAAAGAGATTGCTGAAAAAGAAATAAGGAAATCAATACCATTCACTATAGCTACCAAAAAAATAAAATACTTGGGAATAAATCTTACCAGGGACACAAAAGACCTGTACAAAGAAAACTATAAAAAACTACTTCAAGAAACC